AAAGATTTCTCTGTTGACACCCACCCCTTGGTGCTCATATGACCTTATGCAGTTGCTAGGCCGTTAAACCCTCTACTATAGAATATTAGATGTGTTAGTAAAGAGGAACATGTCAAGGAAAGGAGGAAAGATGAGGACGATGGATATTTGTAAGGGAAGAAGAAGCAAACCACACCACAGCATTTCCCAACCACACACCTGCACACACACATGGTTTGCATTGATATGTTTTATGTCTTTTTTGTCTTTTCCTCTTGTCTTCAGACTAAGTGGGTGGCTGGCAGGTGCTGTTGTGTGGTTTGCTCCTCCTTTGTTAACATACATCTATCGTCCTTTTCTCTTCTCCTTTTTTGTTTTGTTAGACTTTTGTAACACCTCTAGAATCTTCGGCACTTAAATGACTTGATTATGGTGCAAGTGTTGTGAAACTCTTACATTTATTCTTACTAAAACTTACTTAAAAACTAAAACTAAGCTGCTTTAACTCTGCCTATTCAGGGCTGAACGGGAGTACAGTATTCAGAATGAGTATCATTGTAGAAAGACAGGTAGTCAATTAAAGAGATTTCTCCATGTGGGTCACTGGTAGGTCCTATTTCTTCTGCCTTCCCAGTGTTATTTTTGTCTCTGTGTCTTACTTTTTCCCCACCACTAAATGGCCTGTATCCGGTATTTGGGCAATATCCTTCTCTTTACTCCATCAAACGAACAAAGCGGTACTGTTGACTACAGTTTGCAGGGTGCTGTGGTGTGGTTTGCTCCTTCGTTTGTATTAATTAAACAGCCAAACATTCATTGTTCTAATCTCTCCTCCTTTTTTAATGTTTGTTACTCTCTTGTAACTTACTTCTAATCTTCGGCAGTTATATATGACCTTATTGTGTTAGAAGTGCCATAAAACTTAATTGAAAAAAACCCAACCCGCTTTGATAGTGTCGTCAAGCTCACACTTGTTGTACTTTTAATAACACTTTGTACTTTTAATAACACTTTGACACTTGCAAGAATCAATGTTTTGTCTCTCTTAAATGGTTGTGGGTGGTTGGCGGGTGCTCTGGTGTGGTTTGCTTCTTCCTTCCTATCAAACATCTATCATCCTTATCTCCCCGTCCTCTTTTTTATGTTTGTTACTCTCTTGTAACACCTCTAATCTCCTGGCGCTCATATGACTTTGTGCAGTTGCGAGCGCCGTAAAACCTCTACTAAAACTAAACTAAAACAAACGGTCACTTTGTGTTTAGCAGGAAGTCTTTTTAATTTTATCGCAAGACACTTGAATGGCCGTAAAGGCCTTGAACATTTAACTCTCACTGGCAAAATTGAAGGCAAATGAGGCCGGGTTGACCCAGAGTTACCTACGTGTAGAGCCTAAACAGATGGGTGAAGGGGAAAGATCAGGAGAGTGTAACAAATGTAGTCTGTCACTTTTTCTGAGAGCATTTGAGCAAAGGAATGAAGGGAGTATTATAATCCTGAATGTCTAGAAAACCCGACACTTGATGATGAGGGTCTTGTTCTCAAACAGGAACCTTACTTGTTTGTGCAGGTGTTTTAAGGATACCTCTGGGAAGATTTTTATTGTTTTACTCTCGCAAGTTTTACTGTGATTTTCTCTCCCTCTATCATGGTCTTTCTGCTGGGACGTTGTACATTACCTCTCAGCCGGGGCTGGCTTTGTTTTGTCAAGCGGAGTGGAAGGAGCCCGGGCCCGAAAAATAAAGGATCTAAATCATATTGATGTGTGTCATAGTTATTAAAAGACAAAGGTTTTTAAAAAAAAGAAGAGAAAGCAACTCTCCTTCTGTAGGTTGTGGTTGTATAACAGGCTCTGAAACTGTGCTGCTGAGAGGGTGGTTGGCGGGTGCTCTAGTGTGGTTTGCTCTTCTTTCCTATTAAGTCTATCTTTCTGATCTCAATTCCTTCAATTTTGTGTTTGTTACACTCCTATAACATATATATATATATATATTTAATCTGTGGCACTTACATGACCTATTGTGTTGCGAGTACTGTAAAACTCTTACTAACACACCCCCCCCCCCCCCAAAAAAAAAAAAGTATAATAAAAAAAAGTATAAAAAAGCTCTTGTAGTCTTATTTTGGCTCGAGCAGGTGTTTGAGGAGATAAACTAAAGAGCGTGGGTGGTTGGCGGGTGCTCTGGTGTAGTTTGCTTCCTCTGTCCTATCAAACATCTATCGTCCTTATCTCCCCTCCTTCTTTTTTATGTTTGTTACTCTCTTGTAAAACTTGAAACACCAAATATCTTCTTGTGCTCGAATGACCTTATGCTGTTGCGAACGCTGTAAAACCTCTACTAAAACAAACAAACAAATTAAAGAGCAGGGATGCTTGCACAGTCACCGTGTAGCTTTTCTTGTTGTTGATGCTGTTTTTTTAGTCTTTGGAAATAACTTTTTTGACTTTTTAGTCTTTGGAAATAACTTTTTTGACTTTTTAGTCTGGCAATGTATGACGACAAAGGTTGCTGTAAGAGGAGGTTACAGTTACAGTAAAGGAAGTTATATAAAGAAAACAAAAAAGAGTTTGCTCTTATCTGTTATGCAGTTATGTGCTCACAATTGTATTATTATTGTTATTTGTTGTTTTTGCTGAAACTGTTATAATCTCTAAACATGTGTCATGATGAATCAGGTACTCTTCCAAATAATAAAATCAAAGAAACTGACATTTTTTTCGTCAATTAGGCAATTTTTATTGAATTTTATTTTTTGGCATCAACACCTTTTATACATTTAAAAATGCACTCAAGGTTGGGTTTTTAATGAAAAAACATTTGTCAAAGGCAAAAAAAAAGTAAATTTGGAGCTTCCAAGGACCAGCTTTAGAAATTGTTTGTCTTGCTTTTTCCCAGATGTAGTTTGGGAACTACTTGAAAAGAAAAACGTTTCGGAGGGGTGTTCAGTGTACAATGAAGTGAACGTTTCGTGAATATGTTACATTCGATTCCAATATAATTTCGTTTTTCATTTAAGCATCTTATATTATATTGCCGGTCCCTCAAGCCAGTGCCACTGATTGAAGTGTCTTTAGGCCATTCCCAAAGGAAGGATATTAACATGTTATGCACAGTAGAATTGTAGAAATGGGCTGACTTATCAATGCCATGCTCATACTGTGGGGAACAACGTAGGGGGAACTGCTGCTTTTTCTTTCCTCATCCTTACTATCATCATTTTTCTCTACTTCTTTTGTATGTTTGTCACTCTCTAGTTGTGAACAACTTCTATTTCCGGGGTGCCCTGATTATTGATAGTCAAAGCAGACTTTGTGCTGTTGAGGCAAGAGAGGTGAGCAGAGAAAGCCTGATTCCCTGTTTGGACTTCTCTGTTGACATCCACCCTTGGGCGCTCATATGACCGTACTAAAACAGAAAACAAAAGTCTTATATAATATAAATGGTCCGCTCCCTTATATGGCATTCAGGAATTGCATTACTTCTAGGTTTGGCGGGACCAAGATGTGAACATTTCTCAAGATATATATATATATATATATATATATATAAAGGTGGTGGGTGTTCTTGACACTGCTTATAGAAGGGTGTGGTTGGTTGGCGGGTGCTGTGGTGTGGTTTGCTTCAACTTCAAGATTCTTTCCCATCTACCTAGTCTTCCGCACTTATGATCGAAGAATCGTGGTGAAAGTGAAAGTGCTGTACGTTTTTTACTAAAACTAAAAGGAATCTTTTCAGAGTGGAGGTTATTATTTCTATTTGTCCAGTGTCCACCATCTTGACCCACTACATGTGGGTGGTTGGCGGGTGCTCTGGTGTGGTTTGCTGCTTGCTTCTTCTTTCTTATCAAACATCTATGGTCCTTATCTCCCCTCTTTCTTTTTTATGTTTGTTACTCTCTTGTAACACCTCTAATCCTCTGGCGCTCATATGACCTTATGCAGTTGCGAGCGCAGTAAAACTTCTACGAAAACAAACGAACAAGACCCACTACATATCATGTAGACAAGTTAGGTTGTTTTTTTTGCTTTGAAAAAGTTAGCAGCTAAGCTGTTTTATTATATATTGATATCTGTGGGTGGTTGGAGTTTGACATTGGTAGGTCTTACTTCTTTACTTTCCCCCTGTTGTACCTGTCTGTCCGTCTGTCCTTTGTCCCCACACTAAATGACCATTGCCATGTCAAGGTGTGTCTCTTAACTCAAACAAACAAAGACCCTCTTGTAGCACCTCTAATTTTTGGCACTTTACTATGACGTAATTGTGTTGCAAGCCTTGTAGAACTCTTACTAAAACCCCCAAAAAGCCTTTAAAAAAAAAAAAGTTGGCAGCTACATTATAAATGTGTCCATGTGCTTCTCTTCACTCAAATAATCACACCACTTCTTTACTTTCCCACTGTTGTTTCTGTCTGTCTTAGTACTTTTTCCCATCACTAAATGACCATGTGGGTGGTTGGCGGGTGCTCTGGTGTGGTTTGCTTCTTCTTTCCTATCAAAGATCTATCGTCCTTATCTCCCCTACTTTTTTATGTTTGTTACTCTCTTGTAACACCTAATCTTCTGGCGCTCATATGACCTTGTGCAGTTGCCAGTGCCGTAAAACCTCTACAAAAAAAAAAGAATAAATGACCATGATTGTTTCGATGTGCTTCTCAGATAAACAAAACCCTCTAATTTTCGGTATTCATGATACGACCTAGCTGTGTTGCATTGTGTTGCAATAGTAGTGAAACTCTTACTAGATCCAGTTGGTGGTTAGTGAGTGCTCTTGTGTGGTTTGGTCTTTTTTATTCTATCAAACATCTTTCATCCTCATCTCTCCTCTTTCATTTTTTTGCTTGTTATTCCCGTGTAACCCTTTTAGTCTTCGGCTCTTATATGACCTTATTGTGTTGCAAGTGCTGTAAAACTCTTACTAAAACCAAACCAAAAGAGCCTTTGTCTTTTAAAAAAACAAATTTTGTTTTTGATTTTGAGAAGTTGTCAGCTATGTTAAACATTTTTTCCCCGTTCCTTTTCCCAGGTACTGGAGAATCTGGCAAGAGCACATTTATCAAACAAATGCGCATCATCCACGGCGCAGGCTACTCTGACGATGACAAGCGATCGCACATAAAGATTGTGTACCAGAACATCTTCATGGCCATGAACGCCATGATCAGAGCGATGGATACCCTCAACATTCAGTACACGAACCCTGCAAACCGGGTGAGTTTGGAGTTTTCAGTTTGTGCGACTTGTGGCTTGCGACTTGACTTCCAACTTTTGACTTGTGACTTGACTTCCAACTTTTGACTTGTGACTTGACTTGCGACTTGTGACTTGACTTGCGACTTGAAGCTCGCACGGGTGTCGTTTTTGTTGTTGTTTATTGGGTTTTTGTTGGGTTTTGATTCTACTCTTTTTCTCTCTGTTCCTTTCTTTCTTTCTTTCTCTCTCCTTATCTTTTTCTCTGGCTCTGATACCCTTGACATTCAGTACACGAACCGAGAAAACCGGATGACTGGGAGTAATATAGGTGGTGTGACTTGTTGTTGGGCTGCCCACCATTAGGAATTTGGCTGAATTGTTACGGTTTTTATTCAATTAAACGATGATATGATCGTTATACCCCTGATTTCGGTTTTTAAATAAATTTGGCTACCCCCAAACCCACTGCCTGGGTGGTGGCGGGTGCTCTTGTGTGGTTTGGTTCTTCTTTCCTATCAAACATCTATTGTCCTTATCCCCCCCTCCTTCTTTTTTATGTTTGTTACTCTCTTGTAACACTTCTAATCTTCTGGCGCTCATATGACCTTATGCAGTTGGGAGCACCGGAAATACCTCTACTAAAACAAAACAAAACAAACCCACTGCCAACCTTCCTGGTGTATAAAAGAGGAGAAAATAGAAAAACTTCCAGACCCAGGCAGTCTACATCTCTGTGTCAGATGCAGCTGTCTAACTTTGAACAGTATTAACACCCTTTTTATATTGAGCCAATATTAACACACCCTTTTTATATTGAGCCAATGTTAACACCCTTTTTATATTGAGCCAATAGTAACACCCTTTTTATATCGAGCCAATATTAACACCCTTTTTATATCGAGCCAATATTAACACCCTTTTTATATCGAGCCAATATTAACCCCCTTTATATATTGAGCCAATAGTAACACCCTTTTTATATCGAGCCAATATTAACACCCTTTTTATATCGAGCCAATATTAACCCCTTTTTTTATATTGAGCCAATAGTAACACCCTTTCTATATTGAGCCAATATTAACACCCTTTTTGCACAGAGCCCTTGTAGTTGCTCAGTGCCACTTTAATTTGTTTGCCTTTAGGAAAACATTGGACTGTAGAAGAAGTGCTGCAGCCAAGAGTAAGGCAAACATTAGACTGACATCACTGACAAGGTGTTACAAAATTCCTTCCCTTTTGTGTCATCACTCCTTTGTTTATGTTACATTTATACTGATGTACAGGTCTACAACCCCTGTCCTTGACACCCTATATCTTAGAACATTTTCCATGGCCATAATAGGAATTTTAAAGCCAGTTTACTTATTTTGTATCTCTTGATTACATAAAACATATTGCTGGTGGGTGGGCAACCCTGCTTTTGTGACTTGCGACTGTGGTGAACTTAAGACGTGACTCTCGCACAGGTGTTGTTGTTTGTGTTGTTGGTTGGATTTTTGTGGGGTTTTGTATCTCTTTTTTTCTCTTTTTTTCTCTCTTTCTACCTTTCTGCTCTTTTTTTTCGTTTTCTTTCTCTCTCTCTCTCTTTCTCTCTCTCTCTCTCTCTCTCTCTCTCTCTCTCTCTCTCTCTCTCTCTCTTTTTCTTTCTCTCTCTCTGTCTCTCTCTCTCTCTCTTTCTTTCTCTCTCTCTGTCTGTCTGTCTGCCTCTCTCTGTCTCTCTCACTCTTCTCTCTCTCTCTCTCTCTCTCTCCCTCTCTCTCTCACTCTCGTTCACTTATTTTCTCTCTCTAATATCCTCAACTTTCAGTACACAAACCCAGCAAGCCGGATGAGTTTGAGTCCTGAGTTGGGGCGACTTAATAGTGACTTATTTGACTTTCAACTTGACTTAACTTGCAACTTGTCTTAACTTGTGACTTGACTTGCAACTTAACTTGCGACTTGACCGGTGGTTTGACTTGACTTGCGACTTGACTTAACTTGGACTTAACTTTCGACTGGACTTGCAACTTAACTTGCGACTTGACCGGTGGTTTGACTTGACTTGCGACTTGACTTAACTTGGACTTAACTTTCGACTGGACTTGCAACTTAACTTGCGACTTGACCGGTGGTTTGACTTGACTTGCGACTTGATTGACTCAACTTGGACTTAACTTTCGACTGCACTTAGCTTGCGACTTATCTTGTGACTTGCGACTTGTGACTTCACTTACAGCTAGACCAGGCTCGCGCTTGTGTTGTTGTTGGTTAGATTTTTGTTGGGGTTTGTTTCTCTTTCTCTCACTGTTTCTTTCTTTCTGCATTTCTTTCTTTCTCTCCTTTGTTTCTTTTTTTCTGCATTTCTTTCTTTCTCTCCTTTGTTTCTTTCTTTCTGCATTTCTTTCTTTCTCTCCTTTGTTTCTTTCTTTCTGCATTTCTTTCTTTCTCTCCTTTGTTTCTTTCTTTCTGCTTTTCTTTCTTTCTCTCCTTTGTTTCTTTCTTTCTACATTTCTTTCTCTCCTTTGTTTCTTTCTTCCTTTCTCGCTCTCTTTCATTCTCTTTCCTCTGTTGGTCTCTCTTTCACTCTTCCTCTGTCTACTCTATTTCTATCTCTCTTTTTTTTATTGGTCTGTCTCTGTGTTTGTCTCTCACTCTTTTTGTCTCTTTCTTCTTTCTGTCCTTACTTAATTGTTCTTCCTCTTTTTTTCTTTCCCTACTGTCTCTCTAGCCCTTGCTTTCTCTTTTTGTCTCTCCCATCCCCCTCTCTCTCTCTCTCTCTCTCTCTCTCTCTCTCTCTCTCTCTCTCTCTCTCTCTCTCTCTCTCTTGTCTTCTGTCTATCTGTGTGCACGCTCTGTTGGTGGTCGGCGGGTGCTTTGGTGTGGTTTGCTCCTTCACCTCTAATCTTCTGCACATTTTACATGGCCTTATTGTTGTGTTGCAAGTGTTGTAAAATTTTACTAAACTAAAACCTCACTCTCCCCCTCTTTCTCTCTTCCACTCCGTCCTTCTCCTTCTTCTTTGTCTCTTCCCTCAACACTCCCTCCTTCTCCGTCTTTCTCTCTTCCACTCCCTCCTCCTTCCGTTCTCTCTTCCACTCCCTCCTCCCTCCTTTCTCTCTTCCACTCCCTCCTCCCTCCTTTCTCTCTTCCACTCCCTCCTCCCTCCTTTCTCTCTTCCACTCCCTCCTCCTTCCTTTCTCTCTTCCACTCCCTCCTCCTTTCTTTATCTTCCTTCGACTCTCCTTTTTGTCTTTATCAACCTCTTTTTTTGTTGTCGTCCTGTAAAAGTCTTTCTCTCATGTGTCTCTCCTCCTGCCACCACCCCACCACCGTGGGTGGTTGGGGGGGTGCTCTGGTGTGGTTCGCTTCTTCTTTCCTCTTGCACATCTCTATCGTCTTTATCTCTCCTCCTTCTTTTTTGTGTTTGTTACTCTCTTGTAACACCTCTAATCTTTGGCAGTTATATAATGGCCTTATTGTGTTGCAAGTGCCGTAAAACACTTACTAAACCCCTCCCCCCACCGTTCCTCTATTTTACTCTATGAAAACTCTTGTTTGTCTTTTTTCTCTTGAGTAAAAGCACACGAATGAAGTAGGGAGGTGGGTGGTCGGTGGGTGCTCTGGTGTGGTTTGCTTCTTCTTTCCTATCAAATGTCTATCGTCCTTATCTTCCCCTCCTTCTTTTTTTATGTTTGTTACTCTCTTGTAATACCTCTAATCTTCTCGCGCTCATATATGACCTTATGCAGTTGTGAGCGCCGCAAAACCTCTACTAAAACTAAACTAAACAGAAGTAGGGAGGATTTGTTGATGACGCTGATGCTTGTAATGTTATGTTGATCTTGTTTGTCTCTCTATGTCTCTGTCTCTCTCGCTCTTCTCTTAGATACCTCTCTCCCTCCCCCCTCCCCCCTTCTCTCCCTCCCTCTCTCCTTCTCTCCACTCTTACGGTCTCTGTCCCCCTTTTAAAAAAAATTAAAAATTAAAGATCAATATTTGAATATTTATACATTTACAATTAACTAGTTAGTGGTAAAAGCATTAGTCCCAGTGGATGGTTGGCGGGTGCTCTGGCTGGTGTGGTTTGCTTCTTCTTTCCCATCAAACATCTGTCGTCCTTATCTCTCCTCCTTCTTTTGGTTTGTTACTGTCTTGTAACACCTTGAATCATCGGCACTTTTGTGACCTTATTGTGTTGCAAGAGCAGTAAAACTCTGACCAAAACTAAACAAGACACTCGAAGATGATGATGATGATTCAAACAGTGACTTGGAATAAAGACAAGAGCAAATTAAAAAGTTTTTAGCTTTTATATGATCTTGTCAGTTTGTTAGTGTTTGAACGCTTAATCAGTATATGCACAGTCGAACCTGCCCTGACGGCCACCTCTGTAAGACGGCCACCTGTACAAACGGCCACTTTGCATTTCCCCCCTTGCGTTTTTAAAATATATTTTGACTGTAAAACGGGCACCTATCCAACGCGGCCGTGGCCACCATGTTTTACACACAACTACTATCACACCAAGTAATAACACCTGTCTTAGACGGCCACCTGAGTGACTCCATTACATTTTGTCATAAATTGCATTGGCCCCTGGCGTTGTGAGCGAGCCGTCATAATCCAATCACTTGTCGTTGTTATTAGTATAATTAGGTAGTCCCTCCAACCGATCATGTTGCGTAGGCCCCTCCCACTGTTGACCAATAGGTACCAATTTTCAGCTGCAGGTGAGATAAACGTGTGATCCCTCATAACCCATAAAAGCCCTGCCCAGAATTCATATACAAATCGTAAGTGAGATGAGTGGTCATTGTTTACCCAGTCTGTAACAAAGTAACAATGGACGTCAACATACGCTTGTTACAAAAGCGTCGCTCGTTCTCTGAGTGGTGGCGACCCATGTGTTTGTTTTAACAGGGCACTCGGTCTTCCTCGTCTGATACATTTCGTTTTATTGTCACCCTTGCGCAAAATCCACAACAAAATAAAAATAAAAAACAAAATACAAACCAACAACAACAAAAACAACAGCAATGCGGCTACTTTCGGTTGGGACCTCAGATGGGAATGGTTTGTTTTCTTCATTTTGATAAGTCCTGCCTAAGACGGCCACCTGTCTTATATGGCCACTTTTCTCCTTGACAATGGGTGGCCGTCTTACACAGGTTTGACTGTATATGTATGGTCTCACTATGGTTTCTCTCTCTTTTTTTTCTCTCTTCTTTTCTCTCACTTTACCATCTCTTTCTCCCTCTCTATGTCTCAGTTTCTCTCTCTCTCTCTCTCTCTCTCTCTCTCT